ACGACGACTATCAAACTTTCGCTGACGATACAGAAAGTCAGGCCCAATGGTGGCCCACTATTAAGGGTCAAACATTCGAACTCTGGGAGCTCTGGCAGGCGGTCCAGTCTCAAAAGGTCGATGCCGAGGAGCGCGACTGGCAGCAGATCTCGGAAACTCTAGGCTTTAATTGGGTCGAAGATCCCGATATACCCGCTGACATCCGCCATTGCTACCAGATGCACCTCGGCGATTTCGAGGCTGGCTTGTTGGCATTCGAAGAGCAAAGTGACGATGAAGACGAAACGCAAGCTAATGCGATACTGGGAGCACCGCTGGCTTCCTCGCCAGCACTACCGCCGCTCAAGCGCTCCTATGATACGGCTCTTGGTCCTAGTCATTCGTACCCAAGCTCGCCACCAAAGCGGGCAAGATATGCCCGCGACAACGAGGTTCCCTCAACTCCTGACGATAAGAATGGCACATCCCATCTACGCCGACAAACAATTCCGTCAGGAGTCGAGTCGCCTACTTTGGGATCTCACGACACGCCAAACTTCAACCCCTCTCGAATGCCAGCCACTACACCTGGCTCGCGGAACTCCCGCTCCCAGTCGACACTTGAGGAGGTCGAGTCCCAAGTAAATATCACGCCATCTCAGCAACTTCGGTCTGAATTCGACGCAAGATCTGAAGAGGTAGTTACCCCCACACCGGCCCGGACGGCCCGGGACCCTTTTATACAAGACGAACTAGAGGAAGCGGATAATACTCCAAAGGCTTCCACTGAACACACCAACGCGCGCTCTTCAGACCCATCTCCGCCTAAGTCCAAGCGCCGCTCTCTTCCTAGCTCCTTCAACCAACCCCGATTTACTAGAGCGAGCGACTCCCCCGCATCGCGGCCACAGCGGCAGAGCCCTTTGCCGCAGGCGAAGCCTCAGACACCAGCCAGGGAAACACCCGAAGACATTATTGATTTCTACATGTCCTTGGGTTACGCGCAGGACGTCGTAGTCCGCTCCCTTGATGTTACTACCTGGGTGCCCGGGCTCGCAAGCCAACTGATGGAGATGTTGAAGAGAGGCGAAAGCTTACCAACGAATTGGCGCGGCGTCTGGACACAGAAAGATGACGAGGTTTTAAGGGAAGTCGCTGCAGATGACCAGCCGCCGCGGGGAGATGCGAAGGAGCAGAGGAAGAAGGAGAAGAGGCTGGAGAGGCTGGAGAAGAAGCATACGCGCGAGGGCATGGATTTGAGAAAAGCTTTTCTTGAGGCGAGAGATAGAGAGAAGCGAGTCAAATTCGCCGTTGGGGGTTCGAGGTGAAAGGGGCAGAACAGAGCGTGAACAACTCGCACGGAATATGACGCTTGTAATTATGTGTGGGTGTCTTTATGGGCCTTGATACCATCAGCGGTGTGTTATTAAACTTGTAAGGACCGGGCCTGGCATACATGGCCTTGGTATACTATTGATTACATTCAACAGAAGCCAACAGTTTCACAGACACTCCCTTGCCTCAGTAAGAGAGATACCTGTATACTGAGCTGTATACCAAGGTATATTCAGTAAAACAAAGCTCTGCTCCGACAACCATTCGAGTCGTCAACCCTATCTATTCCTGGAGCGAAATCCCCTTCCATTTTCGAGTGGGAAGACATCCATCCGTCCCTTCATTCAACATATCCATACTTCGTACATCCATGCGTACACCCAGCGAGTGGTATGACCTCTCCAACCCCCCGCACCTAACATCGGTACTTAGCTGTCTGTCTATCTATTCAACTGATCCGCTCGATAAGTCCGCTGGACGAATTCTTTCTCCAGGCAGAGAAGAAAGGGGGGGTTCCGCTTTAATTGATCCGCAATGCCTCAAACACCCGACCCTGGATGCTCGGCGGCAAGCGAGCCTCCAGATGCCACCGGGTCCTCTGTCTCATCCACGGCAAGCGATCGTCGATCCAGAACTGCTTGGCAAAGCTCGCCAAATCCTCCAATTGCTCCTCCGCAACCTCTTCAGCCTCGACCTCCTCCCCCTCCTCCTCCTCTACCTCCCCTTCCTCTTCCTCTTCCTCCTGTCCCGCACCCACACCCACACCAACATTCTCGGCCCCCGCCGTCTCGAACAACCCGCCACGTCTCTGCTCTCGCCCCGGCTCCCGCATTACCAAGCCCGGCGCCCGCAGCTGCAGGCACAGCGACAGCAGGTGCGCGAACAGCCGCGGCAGCAGCTCCCGCTGGTGGCCGCCGAAGTACTCGAGGTAGTCGGGCACGATGGAGGCGTGCGGGGCGTCGTGCGCGTGGTTCATGTGGTGCATGGCGATGCCCATGACGGACCACTATTTTTTTCCGGCGGGGTTTCTGGTGTTAGTGAAGAGGAAACCAAGACAGGGGAGGGGGAAGAAAAGGGAAGGAAAGGAAAGAGATTTTGGTAAATTCCGGGGGGGGGGGGGGGGGGGGGGGGTTGAA